ATATATTACACATTTTCTAAAAAAGAATCACTGCTGTCTAACTGCTAGAATATAACAAATAACAGCATCTCCTTATATGCTAGGCTAGGAGGCAGGCAGTATATTTGCAGATACTATTAATTCAAAAGCCTCTTGTAGGTGTGTCTTACCGGTTCTCCTGCACTGCCTGCTGCGTGATGGGAATAACAGATGAGACCAGGGATGGGCTGTTCACCTTTTGCCATGATAACAGCAGAACTGGTGTAGGATGGATGCTTCTAATGTACAATACATAACAGCTATGAATACAGTGATAGGAAAACATGAAACTACACAAGCAAAATGACAAAAGGAACAAGGGTGAAACAGGTGGGACACTGAAATGCTAAATGATTACAAACTTATATGAACACAAACAGTTTAGATCTCAGGTATTTTCTGTCCTTAAAACTGCACTGAATACTGGTGCCTCTTGTCATTTCAAGTGAACTAATTCATCTATTTAGACCTTACATTAAAATTAATAATAACAAAAAGTACAACTTGAAATTGTTAACTTAGTGCATCTATTCCTGCAAACATACATACATAACCAGGATATCTGTAAGTGAGAAAATAATCTCCGTTGGAGATATTATGAGAATATGAATTATTCCTAAGGTTCAACTTCTGAGAGCAGGAATGCTGCTATTATGGTTTAAGTAAAGTGGTATAACATGATTTTGATATACTTAAAATTAATTACTAATATACAAACACTGGTCAATGAGAATTGAAAAAGTATAGACTATTCAAATATAAGCTGAATTAACTTGGATAACCTTTCCCAAACATCTAGGAAAGTATTTATCCTATAGTTGAAAACTGAACCTACAAACAAATTAAAAAGGTACTAAAACAGGGTACTCCAACTAAAACATCATCATTCATTTGGACAAAGTTATACAGAAATATTATTTCAACAGATGTGTACATGATGAAATCAAACTTTTCCAAGTGATATTTGTATAAATACTGTGATTTTTTCTTTTATACTTCCAAGTTTATATTCCAGTTTGGATCACATGTATCTGCCTAATCGAACTGGCTAAAGCACTGAAGTCTAAATAGCGATAAGACTTATTTATTTATGGTAGGAAAATGCCATACTTCTAGTTCTCTGTTCCCAGAATGCAGCTATGCACAGGAAAATACAAGTAACCTGGGTGTTTTATTGTCCACTAGCCACCTGCTACATTTGTCTGTCACCATTTCTGGAAATTAGTATTATCCTTTCCAATAGGACACTGTCATATCAGAAAATGCTAATAACATAATTCCTTAAAATACCACCTATTACAGCTAATATGTTTAGGCATGGCAGATGTTTTGATCAAAAAAAAAAAAGGAGTTACATCAGAAAATGGTATTGTAAAAAGCATAACAGCATTCCAGTAACAGATGGTATGTGCATAGTGCCTTACAAAGTCTGTGCTTAATTTCAAAGCAGGGCTCACATATTTGTCTAAAGCTGGCTAATGTTAATTTCTAGACTGTCCAACATCCACCAGTATGTAAAAATCAAAGCCAAAAACATAGTCCTAAAATACAATTCAGTGTTGGTGGAAAGTACCTGAGAAAGAAACCTAAGTGCCTCTCATGCAAATAGCCAAGACTCACCTTAGCTGCAATGGCTGCAGCAGTTATATGTGAAGAAGAACTGTCCTCTGTTGAGGCAACTCCACTATCCTTCTTCTCTTCCTCCTCTTCCTCACACTGTACACCTTTGTCTTCTGTCTGCTTGTGAGGGCTGGTGGTTGGAGGAGGAGAAAGAGGTGGTGGTGGTGAAGGTAAGTCTTCAAGTTCGTCATGTACCTCCTTAACTTTTACAATGGCATCCCGCAAAAGGTCAATGGCGTGAGGTAGGGCTGGCAGTATAAACTGAAAGCATTCCTATGTACAAGAGGAGAAATTATACTGAAAATTTTTACCTGCCAACGAAAATAGGGATTTGTCAGCTCTGTCATAAGGGTTAATTGATTTGAATTAGTTTTCCTGTCTGATCAGAAAAACAAACAAACAAACAAACAAAAAACCCGCAACAAAGCCTAACTGCTTGTTAGGAGAAATAAGCCAGAATTTAATCCAAAGGTAAATTGGGGTACATGTAGTATATTATTTATACACAAAAACCTCTCTGTTGTGCAACATTTAGAACTGCTAAATTTTAACCAAGACTGCAAACATTACCATACAGGAAATCACCAGTTAAGTCCCATTAAATACATAACAAAGCAGCCAATCTAAGAGTTATAGAAAGCATAATAATTAAACAAACCTTACGAAACATATGAAAAACACGACACTCCAACAGAAATGTAAAACTTAACAAACTTTAATCCTACCCTTTCATTTATTTATTTATTTGATTTATAGCCAGCCCTATCCAAACGAGCTTTTGTGACAGCCTCAAATCTTCACTTTTTTGTTCCTTTTATATCTAGAGATTGATTCACATCATGAAGGGTTTCTTAATATGGATGTCTCTATAGTAAGATATACTATTTTTTATTCATAGGCTTTTTTTCTGTGGACTTTTAGAGTGACAGACTTGCTGATATCATCATAATTTCTCACAATTCAGAGTAATTTTACAGCATCCATATAAAATTTGTCTTCTAATTCTCTCGTCTTGTTTTCTTGTAATAGACTATAGGACATTTCCATTTTATGGCTGGAAAAAACGAAAAACTGCAGAGACACTGTGTAACAGACTCTTGCCTCTGAGAATGGCCGTAGCACCTGCTGTAACTATATTATTTGCATTATTTATCACAGGCAGTATAATCTCACTCTGGGTTCCCAGGTTGCTGCCCTGTCCTCAACTGTGACACCTTGTTGGAAATAAAATTAAGATTGGGAAACTTCCCTTAGAATACTGGATTGAGCCTTGAAGTGCCACACTCTGACCTGTTCATCATCGATCCTTTGCTCTGGCCTGATCTTTGGACTCGGTCCCCTGAACAGGGAGTCTCTCCCTATAATTGGCCTCTTTTTGTCTCTTTCTGGGGCTTGTTCTTCCCCTAGTATCCCCAAATGGCTACTCTCCTTCAGGGCTTGTTCTCTCTCTCCAGCACCCTCATTTTTAAGACTCTTTCTGCTGGGCTCTGTCTCTTGGCCCTGTGCTCAGGCTCCTCTCTCTCTCCCTCTTGGGGCCTACAGTCTGCACCCCCTGACCAGTCCCTTTTAGGGCCTGCAATCTCTACCTGACCCATTCTTCCTGGGTCCTTATAGCTCTAGCCTCCACCAACAGTCCTTTTACAGGGCCTTCTGGCTCTGGACTCTGCCAACAGTCCTTAGTCAGGGCTAGCATGTTAGCATCTCCCTCTTGGATCTCATGCTAACTAATCAAATGCACAGTGCCTTCCCAAATCAGCCACTGTGACCTCTCTGCTCCCCTGTAGCAACTCCCATAACCCCTGCAAAACAGAAACATAAACCAGTTATCTGTGCATGCAACAGGCTTTCCTGTACAGCTGCTTCTCCTCCAAGGATGTGGGCTAGTGTGACTCTCTTTAGCCCTGGAGCCAGGCCTATATACCTACTGACTCTCCTCTTTTCAACAGGGCCCAGGAGCTTCTAATCATCTATTATTGAGCAGTCCGATGTTCTGCCGCCTGCAGTCTGCAGACTGGGCTCTGCTGCCCTTCAACTTTGCTGCTCACACGTGCTGCACTCTGCAGTCGCATAACACTGCTTACTGTGGTAACAGGGGTCAGGGGCCCCTGTGACAGGAGTCACTGTACTTCTTTTATGTTATCAGTTGTAAGTGTGCTGTGTTTTCACAGGTTGTGTTCACATAGGACCCATGTACTTAGGAATATCTGAATAAAATTAAAACTCGCTAGGACTGTGTGTCCTCTGACATGTGGTTTGTAAAACCCCTGTTAGACATATCCAAGCACAAAATTATCTTCACTTAGCTAAACTTTAAATCTCAACAACCAAATGGGAAATGAACAGTGGAAAAGGAAAGCAAGTTGTGAGCTAACCCATCATGAAATGCAATGACCTTGTGAGGAAATTCATAAATAGTTAACACATTAGGAAAATAAACATCCCACCAGTAAGCCAATATGGCTTGACTACTGTTAAACAGGTATTATAATATTTGCAGTATTTATTGTATGCAGTATTTATTTTGACAAATGCTAGAACATTGTGGCAGAATCTCTGTCCATATAACTTGTCATTGGACCAATAATTGCTACGGGCTTATCAAAATTTAGACCAGACAAGGATCTTCTCCTCCAATTTTTGTTGAAGCCATGTTAAAGAAAAGAATGGGGCATCCAGAGAGAGGAGGAAGTCTCCCACAAAGGCTGATTCTGTGGCACACTGTGAGAAAGTTCTCTGGCAGTAGCATAGTGATGGGGTGGGGTGACCCAGGCACAGGGATAGTGATGACTTCCAGTTGTCACATAATTGTCTGGCTATCAATAACGGTTGCTTTTTTATGCCTCTCCACCAAGTCAGTGCCTACGGTGGTTGCCCCTTTCCTCTTGCTCTAATTACACCACTGTTCTCTGGAGAGCACGTGATAATGCAGAAGTCATGAGACTAGGAGAGCAAGCCAGAAGGAGTCTGACTGTACCCTAGTGGTGAAGGAATTTAACTGGCAGGGGAGGAAGGGACTGTCCTGTGTTCCTGTTTCCATTTCTGTCCCCTGGACTGTTTTTGCATTTTACATCAGACAATCATTGGATAGAAAACAAATAATCCTGAGAGAAGTCACTGGGACCCTGGCCTGTTAGCTGAGTGCCCTAACTACAAGGCAGCAGAGTCAGGCTCGCTCCTATTTGCTTTTCTTCTGGCCCCAATACTCCTGCATTCTTTGCTTCAACAGGACAGATGAAGGATCTGCCCAAAATGTTTTATAGCCTGATGGTTAGGGCACTCTTCTGAAAGGTGGGAAATGTGGCTATGAAAACCCTCTGCCTGAGAAAGCCATAGAATGCAAGTTATCAGTCTCCTGAGCAAGCACTCTAACCACTTGGCTACCTCCTCCTTTGACAGTGTTATTGAACGAGACTGGCCTTGCTTGCTGTACATTATACTGAATCCCATGCTGCTGCTGTTAGGCATGCTCAGAGCACAGCTACTGAATCAGGAACCTCCAAGAACTTAGGCAGAGGTGAATCACTGCTCTGCCTCATACCTGGTTTGTGACCAAACTTAGATGAGAACAGTTTAGGCATGCAGGGATCATTCCAAAACATAGCTGCTAAATGACTTCAGGTACCTAATAAGCTTGGTTGGGTACTAGAGCAGAGATATTCTGGATTGCTTTATACAATGTATTTCTTAAATCCTACCTAAGTTCCATTTAGGTGCCTAGTCTTCCAAACTGTGTCTCAACCTAATTTTGCAGCTTGCTATTTTTGCTTCCTCCTAGTTACAAAGATTCTGCAGTTGTTATTTCGTTACTGAATCTGTTGATGGTGACACTTAAATTTGAACCTTCGTGGTATAGTGGTAAAACGTAAATATTTGTATATTTGTGACCTGAGTTAGCACATTATTGGTGCTTTGTCATTATTTACTGAGTAAATTCCAAGTTAATTTAAGGTAGATTCAGAGTTCCATAGGTGCTACAGGGCTATGGCAGCAGATTCTCCTTTGTACAAAAAGTGAAGATGACAACTGTTTCTTCTAAAATATAAAGGAAACATATACAGAAGGAAGAAAGTTTATATATTCAACTTTTCAGACTATAACTGGCTTTAAGTCTCCCCATTTTTACAGACACTAGTCTTATATCTTGTCAGCTCTGCTTTCCAGTGATATTTAGTGCATCATCAACAGGTTATATTAGTTCCATTTCATTTATTTACATAATAAAACTGAAGAAAATATATAGCTTCATTTATGGTTTTATTACTGAAACTGGAAAGGAAGTAATATAGATCATGAAAGAGAGGAAATCCTCATTTAAAGAGGTTCGTGAGGTCTCTGCTGCCAGGGAGTATCTCTCTCCATTGTAATAATATTTGCTGAAATCTCAGAGCTGTGGGATCTATTATGCTGTACTACCTGATGAGTGAAAAGCTTACCTTCATGGTAGACAACTCATCAGGTTACAAAAATTACTGCTATATAGTGAAACTTCGCACTATTTTTTCCTTTCCAATACTGTGATCTCATATTATCTGCATATATGAAATATGCTTGTTATACTGTCTCTATTTATATTGTATCCCTTTTCCTCACCTGCTGTTTATTTGCCTTTCTTTAGATTGTGAGTGCCCCAGAGCAGAAATCATGCATTTTCTCAGCTTGGAAATTACCTAGCATATTGTAGACACTGCTGAATGTAATTAATAAAAATGACCAGAGACAAATGCAACTCTTCCTCCTCCATAATTTGATTCAGAGGACATAAATCTCTAGCAGATAAAAAGAGAGACAAATAACATATTGAAATAATGTGGCTCCTTGGGATTGCTACATAGACCCTGAGAACTTTTTCAGGGTTGTTCAAAATCAAAATGTGCTCATTCTTTTTTAATTCGTAGTATATCTGAAGAAAAAAATCTTATTCTCATGTGAACTTTCCTCTGCAGTGATGGAAACTCTAAAATATAACATAAATGAGGTTAAGACATCAGAACTGGCAAACAAAAATGACTACAAATTAAAAAAAAAAGATCATTCTAGTTTCATTGCCCAGCCTGAATGAAATGTAATATAAATAGACAACACAAAGCATAAAAATGTAAATTTCAGTTATGAGTTTTCAATTGCAAATATTAAAAAATCCATAAATGAAAGAAAAATATTTGAAATATACTTATTTTACTAACTGTTTAAAAATGATTTTCCTTTCTTTTTTTTCCTTAGCAAAGGTGGTAGTAAGAAATCTATGAATTCTTCAGACCATTGCCACACTATTAGGTTGTTTCAGACTCTTTTGGAGACTCTTCAGAGTCTTCTAACTGTAGGTAACATTGCGAATGGTCCCACTTCTGGCTATATGGGCTTTACACAGCTCTAGGCATTTTTGTAAAATTGGTTGTGGTAGCTATGCTTCTGTCATATGCAAGAAAAGTATCTTGAATCCAATAGGATCAAATGTAAAGACAGACTCAATATGAATACTTCTTACCTGTGACCCTTTCTTGCTACCTGGTAGGTTAATTATGAGAGTTTTTCCTCTGATTCCACACACAGGCCTGAAAGGAAACAGAAACTGTTTGAAATACAAGTATTTTCCTTCATGGCAAAACATAGCACTAAGGGGTAATCCTGACCAGCTATCTCCGTGTGCCAGTTTAGTCTGCAATCTCTGAAAATGCTTGGGAACCACATATGGATAAAATGGCTGAAAGGTAGGATTTTCTCAGGAGAAGCTGAGGCAGCATAAGGCAAGGTGAAAAATAAGATTTCAACATATAATCAAATATAAAAAAAGACCTTAACTGGACTAGATCTTCATTTAGCATCATATTGTGTAACTTCATTAACTTCACTCTTTATTTACAATAAAGTGAGGATCTAATTTATTTTCCATTTGCTCAAATTCTTGGTTTGGTTCTGGCTTGATGGCACCAAAAATACTTTGGCCAATAACTAAAACAACAGATAATAAAAGGTCACTCAGTTGTACTCATTCTATCATATATATTTTTGAATTATAGCATATGAAAAGCAGAAAGGATAAAATCATTTTCCTATATAGAAATGCAATCACAAGGGCTCTTGATAGAGCCACTTGGATGGAGTTGTAGTATGTACAGTTCAAAACTAAAGGGAAACTTCTTTACAAATCTCATTCTTTCAGAGATCCTGTTCTGCACCCCAAAGCAGCACATCAAGCAATGAAAGGGCTAAGATGAAGTTATGATTTACATCAGAGAATTTGAAATTAGAGTCTGTAACATCAGCATGTAAGATCAAAATGAATAGTAATACTATTATTATGCACTCATGTAAGACTATACATTTTAAGAGATCCACATTTTAATCAATTATTCCATACAGCACTCCATGAAGCCAGCAAGTACTGCTATCTCCTTTTTACAGATGGAGAGGGGAAGGAAAAGGCATTTTAAGTTACTTGCAAAAAGACAAAGCAGTTTATTGTTTATTGGCTGAAATGAACTTACTTATGTGTTCATATTTACAAAACCATATTCCAAATACAACATTTCTACCCACAAGCTATGAGTGGTGACTGTAAACATATCAAAAGGCAGGTTTTGCTTTGTCACCAGAAGAAAGATCTTGACTCTTGCCAATTGTAACCCAATCCAAACCCCTTGGTTTTACAAGAATCCACAACCTATGGAATCAAAAAGAGTTTGCAGGAGATATTTTTTCTGCAAAATTCAGCCAAAGACTATTTTATCAAAACCAAGAAAGGACAGATCAGGTTGCATAGAGAGTACTTGCCCTTTACCTGCAGTCAACCTGAATGATACAAACCAGAATGGCAATTTAGACAGTGTAACACTGCATATTTATAGTGCAGTTTGTTTCCTGGGAACTTGTGTTACTGGGAGCCCTAGCAGATGTGGATGGCTATAGTTTTTTTCCTCCTGAGTCCATTTCATTGAGGAGTGTTTGCACAAGAGGTTCTACAGAATTTTTCCAGTCGCCATAGCTTCTGATTATTTGCTAGTGAACAAATACATTGTAAGGAAAATTGATTACACTTTTTTCCTGTTTGTGAAATATCTATGAAGAAATGGAAAATGTTGCATGATTATGAGAAAGAATTGGTTACAAATTTTCCTTCCTTAACTGCTTGATACATAAAATAAGAAATCTGAATTATACCATTTGGTTCTGGTTAGTCATACAAGTCATATAGTCTTGTTTTGATTTTCCAGTTGAATAACTTGGTAGAAAAACTGGCAAAAGATGAAGTGAAATACACCCCATGGTCACATCCAGATATGCAGGCATGTGCGGTTTGTGGTGCTGCAAACTGGACACTCAGAACATTAAAGTATGCCCTGCCCTGCAAATTTGCAAATTTGGAGGCAAATTTTGCTACCAGCAAATCCTGGTAGCAAAAAACCCTCAAAAAACAGCAAGAAAACAAAAAAAACCCAGCACAAAAAATGTGGCCTGGCGCATGTGACATGAGCGTGCTCTGGTAGGGCTTGGTCCTCCAGGAAGACACTTTGGCTGCCGGTCAGAGTCTCCACTCCTTGAGTTGTGCTCTGGCTCCTTGAGCACACTGGGAGCTGGGAGGAGTGGCAAAAGGGCAGTTTGCCCAAACCAGGGCAATTTGTCCTACACCAAAGTGCAAGTGCAGGGGTGTGCACTGAGCAAAAAGTAGTGGCACAAATTTGTACCACTGCTATTTTTGCCGCTGAAAGTGCACCCCCCAGAAGTGGGGATGTGCCCCATGAGTACTATATTGTGTGAGTGCAAATTTTACTTTCTACAGAAATTCATGCTAGTAAAATTCTTGAAGGAGTCTAAAATAAGCAACAACAAAAAGGGGAAATAAATGGCCAAACTCAATTCTTGTTAAAAAAAAAAAGAATAAAGAAAAAAGTAGAAGGACTTTTTTCTGCAGTACTCAGCTACTTTCGAATTGTCAGAGTCTGTCCAAAAAGGGCCAGGAAATTTACCTTTTACACGATACTTGTTCCCCAAATTAACGGTAGCTAAAGTATTTGCACAATCTTCTTTTTAGCAAAAAAAAAAAAAGAGTTAAAAAGGAAAAAAAAAAACCTTTAGAAGCTCTGTGGATGTCTGAAGAGAACCTCTCTGTTTAATCCACAGAGCTGGACAAATAACTGGTAAAAAAAACTTGGGATGAAAAACATAAATAAAAACAAGTCACATGAAAATGTAGGGTCGTAATCTAAGAAAAAATAATGTATAACGTGATTTACCAAATGGAAATGCTAAACAAAGAAAAAGAGCAGGAAAGAGAAACCTTTTTTTTGTTTTGCTTATATGCTATTTAACATTTAATGCCAACGAACATAACTTGTTTGTGGGGAAAGGAATTTCCCTGGATTCCTTCCTACATAAATAATTCATTATACTCAATGTCATTAGAAGCTATATCACATTTTCTGGCAAAGTTAGAAGTATTCTAGTGATAGTTGCCAAAATGTCTGCAGTGGCTTTTCAGAGTCTCAAAATGAGCCTTTCATACCACAATTAAGTTGACCCACATAGGGGACAAGTCTTGTTTTTGACTGTGAGCTCAATTGTGTCCTGTCTCCCAGTCTGCTCTGCTTCCCCTATTTGCATATTTCAAGTGCAATATTGCACAGTTTTGAAATTCTTTTCAAAGAAACACAGTAAGAGCTTAGGGCTTAAAGATATCTTGCAGAGATTCAAGTGGCAATTTGTCTATTAGATAATGTGAACTGCATGTTTAGCATAAGAAGCGCTGATCTTTCCTTCTTTTTGTTCTTCCCTTCCACAGTCTGCCACGGAAAATGGCACCATGTAAAAATGACACTTACCCTTTCACGCGAGCTGTTAGTTTATACTTCTTAGGTCTAGTTTATTAGGCAGAATAACTTTAAAAAAAAACATGCAAACCAAAGTTTAATTATTTCACAGAAGGTCCAAAGTATACAGCCTGTCAACTGAGGTCTTAATATAAACTTGTATATATTTTGTGTCATGTTAACAGAAGTTTATGTAATTTTGTTTGTAAAGAAATCTGTGGTTTACATTACTCTACAAAAGATGTGTTTTTAAATGTGTCTTGCAAATGTTTATATATGTGCAATATATGCAAATTAGGGGATTCCATCAGATTACTGCTAGTGTATATAGCTATATAAAATCTCATGCCGTGTAGAGTCTGAATTTTTGTCTGACATCAATAACATGTCTACGCTGGGGGAATAATATAAAGAAAGTAGATGTATACATCAGCAACTACTACATTTTGCTTAAGGCTGGACTTGACAACAACATTTTCCTGAATTTGCCTCCCACACAATCTCAGTCCTCTATGTTAGGAAAGAACATCCACACGTCCATGAGACCTTTTGAAGGGTGCCACTAGGTGTGACAAGATAAACAGATGAGAGAAGATAAGCACAGGTGTTCAGGCTCCTCCCTGCCTAGCTACTGCCCTGTCCTCACTGCCAAGCCCCTGTGCAAGAAGATAAGCACTGTAATAAATTATGTTTTGAAATGGGGTGCTGTAGCGGGGGCAGTGTCCCCCAGCACCCTAAGAGATCGATGCCCCCCTACCCCCAGTTTAGGGCAGTCTGTCCTGCATTTTCCTGCCACACCTTTGATGTAAAAATGAACTGATGTAAAAAATGTGGGAGGCTGCCCATTTGTGGCCCTGGTATTCTGGGACAAATACACAGCTCTGAACCACCCCTACACCATGTCCCATGCCTTGCAGATAGCATCTGAATCCACTACTACTCACTCCCCTGGCCCCTCACTGGGCCACACTTGGCCTCTGGCCCATGCAGGCCTCAGGTCCCTCTAGGTGGACCTTGGCCCCTCGGTGGACCACTCCCCCAGCCCCTCACCGGACCACACTCTGACCCGTCTCTGGGTCACACGCTCACTCCACCCCATTACTGGGCACACATTCACTCTGCCCTCTTACTGGACCACACACTCACATTCGGGACCTTTTGCCCCTTGGGTCTCAGGTCCCTCTTAGTGGACCTTGGTCTCAAACTTTTCCCCTACAAGGCAGTGGGGGATGAGACTTTACAGTGTCCCATTGTCACCTTTCACTGGGGAGGCACAGGTGTGGCATTTTCTGGGGCTGCCTCGTGATAGGCAGTCCCACCACACCATCCAACCCCAGCAGGGTGCAGTTTCAGGTCTTACCCAGGACCAAGAGGAACCTTGTCCATCCCCATAGTTCCTACCCTAACCTCCAGATGTTCCAGGAGCTTCAGTCTTCAGGCTGAGGAATCTTTCTCCTCCAGCTCCCCAGATGTAACTGCTGGCCCTGCTTCCAGGTTCTGGGCTTATACACACCCTGCCTAGCCCTCCTCCAATCAGGAGGCCACTTGTGGTCAGGTGACCACCTAACTTATCCTGAACTCACCTGCCAGCTACTGTACAGCCTGCCTGATGTTCTTAAAGTGTCAGGCACAAATAATGCACTGCCACAGGTGCTGATCAAT